ATATTATTTCTTAGCTACTCAGTGTAACTTCTATGATATTTGCATGTACTAGATGACTTCAGTTAGTTCCTAATTTGATTCATACAGAAAGTTTTACTAAGCTGTAATTTTTAGAAATTTTGTTACATGATAAGCTTCTGAAATAAGAAATATTACTTCGATTGCATTAGGCTGTGTTAACTTAAGAAATGTGAGCAGACACTCTGTGCCTCAACCATTAATTTATATCATGTGGTTGATGATTATATTGGGGCAATGTGTGCTAGAGATTAAAAATTTAATTCATATTAAATGCTCTAAAAAATGCTGCCTCAGGCCGGCCACATGGACCTGCAGGCTAAACATATTTGTCATGCAAGCATGAAATTGTGTATTTAATCCATAGTACCCACATGGTGGATGGAGATAATGGAATTACAATATTTAAAACTGTCTCTGACTTCACAGAATGAAGCATACTGTGGCATATGTATGCTGGCAAGGATATACAAATAAATGTACACATGCATGTGAACAAACAAATAAAAAATGGAACTACATGGTCTTTAAGTACTGCCTGTTTCCATTATTTTAAAGTTGATGCAGGGCATAACCTTTTTGTTTATTTTTAGTATAACACTTCATTAAATATGTTTTCATTAGAACGAGGTCATCCTATAAAAACATTGACATCTGAATTTTGCTTAAATATTTTCTACTTTTAGGGAAATGTTGCCATTTTCTGAAATCATGTCTGTCTCACAGTGAGAAAAGGTAGTGTTTTTCTCTAGTGCATTGTGACATTCATGCTATCAGTTGTTGGAGGAAGTAAGTGGTAAACATTCAATGGTGAGGTGCTTAAGCTAGCTCTGCCCCAAGCAATATCGTCCATGCAGTGTTTCTACAGCAAATGTGGGTTTCTCTAGTGAAAAACAAAATGAAACAAAAACACAAAAACAAAACAAAATAAAAACACGTTTATGATGTCATTTAGAAATGTTATCTCTTGCTTGGCAATGGTGGTGCAAGCCTTTATTCCCAGCACTCAGGAGGCAGAGGCAGTCAGATCTCTAGGAGTTTGAGACCAGCATGGTCTACAAGAGGTAGTTGCAGGACAGTATCCAAAACTACAGAGAAACCCTGTCTCAAAAAGTAAATAATAAATAAATAAATAATAAAAAAATTGTTAACTCTTTACAATGCTAATTTACCTCTCTAATAAGAAGGCAATATTTTTTGAAAACTATTAGCACCAATTTCTTAACACAGAGAAGAAACCATAACCATTATATATTTTATAGTTATATTTAGTTATAATTATATATATAGTTATATATATATATAGTTATAGTTATATAGATAAAAAATTATATATTTTATAGTTATAACTTTTGTATTGGTCTATTGTTTTGTTCATCATCAACATATCAAAATATGTCTTTAGAATATTTTCATTCATCATTACCCATCCCTCACTAGTATTATCATAATATGTAAAAATTCATGTAAGTAATTTGATCAGTTAATAATCTAACTAATGAATATATTTCTCTGATTTCTAAAAATCACAAACATACATTGATACACATACATGATACAATACATTATTTAGGTTATGTATCCAACAACAGTTAAGAGACTTAACTTATGAATCAACTTTACAATTTTTTTGAATCCTCTCTATTTGCTATTATCCTTACTACTGAATGTTAATTCATCATTCTATTTCTGTCAGCTGCCTGCACTGTTGTTCAGACTTTCCAAAATGCCTGAAGGGTACACTGTCAGCTGTAGATATTCAAGTCAGCATGGTAATGTCAGCTGATTTCTTCCCATACAACACACACACACACACACACACACACACACACACTTGCATACATTACAACTTGTGGAACTATTTGTCACATTTTTAAAGCATAACCTTTGGTCGCTCTTTTATGTGACAGAAGTAGTGTAGAATTTCCATACTATTTATGTCCCTAAATTATGTTTTATGCTATAAAAATTTGGGAATGGGTATTTATATGAAAGTATATTAAATCACATAATTCTTATCATGAAAAAATATAAAAAATAAGTGTCACTCAACTTTCTCCATAAGTGAATGAAGGTGGTGATTGTTTTCTAGGAGCATGTAACCAGGGGAAACATGCCATCTTATTAATATATTGTTATTTTTAAATATGGAGTACAGCAGCTAGATTTTATTTCTTTAAAACATAAACACACAGACAATGAATTAGACACAGATACTGCAAACAAGAAAATTCCTAGATTCAAATTAAGGTAAAATATTTCACTATGTTCTTAGACACATACCGAACTGTTTTCTTTGACACATCCTCCCATACTTTGATACCTTTTTCAGATATATATGCCAACTTTTAATGTACATATTTGCAATGATAGTCAAACTGTGATTGACTGTCTTGAATATGTATCAAAATATTGTGCAATTTAAAGAAAGCTAGAACCTACTTCACAAAAGAAAGCAAACTTGTTAAATGCTTTTACTGTGCATGGACATATAGAAACATATGTGAGAATATGAGTGTATACAACTGCATATATTATATGTAATGTGTGTGTGTGTGTGTGTGTGTAGATTTAATGGATCATCATTCCATGAATAAGTGTTTATGTGTGTTTGTATGTATTCACAGCCTTGAGAGCACAGTCACTTTAGACTCCATATTTATAATTTGTCTCTCTGATTGACCACTGTCATCAGAAACCATTAGATAAGAATGTATTTTGAACACTAAAAAATAACCGTTAGTTGCCAACAGTGGAAATGACAGCAGGTCAACTCAGGTTGCAAAATCTCTGCCTCGCAGGAGGGATCATCAAAATCTGTCAAGTTATTTGGAGTAGGGACTAGGCCCCCTCTCCTGGCTCCTGGTTAAGGGAGTGTCCCTCCATGGGTAATGCGCTCCCAAAGTCCTTTCATGTAGCAAAGATACATGCTGGGTCCACTGTCAGAGGCCCTTTAGACTGCCCAGGCCTTGTAACTGAGACCCGTGTTTAGGGGGGGTCTGAGTCAGTCCAATGCTGTTTCCCAGCTATCAGTCTGGGGGGCCATGAGCTTGTTCAGGTCAGCTGTCTCTGTGGGTTTCTGTAGCTTGGTCTTGTTCCCATTTTCTTATCACTCCTCCATTTCTGTGTCTTGATTCCAGTTTGGTTCAGTGTTTATATGTGGGTGTCTGCTTCTGTTTCCATCAGCTACTAGATGAGGGCTCTATGATGGTGGATAAATTAGTCATCAATCGCATTATCAGGTAAAGGCATTTAAAGGTAGCCTTTTCACTGTTGCTTGGGTTATTAGTTGGGATCACCCTTGTACGTCTCTGGACATTTCTCTAAACTCAGTTTTCCCTTCAAACCTATAATGGCTCCCTCTTTTATGGCATCTCTCTCTCCTTTCTCTCGTATATTCCTCCCCTATCTCAGTCTTCCTAGTCCTACATTCTTTCCTCTCCTCCACTTCTCCTTCTCCTAGCTCCTTCTCCCTTCACTGACCCCCTCCACTTCCCATATGCTCAGGAGATCTTGTTTCTTTTCCCTTCTGTGAGGGACCTTGAATAAATCTCTCGGTTGCTCCTTGTATACTAGTTTCTCTGTCGGTGTGAATTATAGGCTGGTGATCCTTTGCTCTATGTCAAAATCCATATATGAGTGAGTACATACCATGTTTCTCTTTTTGTGACTGTGTTACCTCATTCAGGATGGTTTCTTCAAATTCCATCCATTTGCCTGCAAATTTCAAGATTTTTCATTTGAATGTTATTCCATTGTGTAAATGTGCCACATTTTCTTTATTCATTCTTCAGTTGAGGGGCATCTAGGTTGCTTCCAGGTTCTTTCTATTACAAATAATGCTGCTATGAACATAGTTGAACAGATGTCCTTGTTGCATGAATGTGGATTATTTGGGTATATGCCTAAGAGAGGAATCGCTTAGTACTGTGGTAGACTGATTCCCCTTTTCCTGAGGAACTGCCATACTGATCTCCAAAATGGCTGTACAAGTTTGCACTCCCACGAGCAGTTGAGGAGTGTTCCCATTTCTCCAAATCCTCTCCAACATAAGTTGTCATTGGTGTTTCTAATTTTAGCTATTCTGGCAGGAGTAAGATGGTGTCTCATACTCGTTTTTATTTGCATTTTCCTGATAGCTAAGGATGTTCGGCACTTTCTTAAGTGCTGGAGGACCTTAATTAATTTTTTTTAAATTGTGCATTGTTCTATTACTTGTGGTGTAGGTATTTGTTTTCAAAATCTGAGATGAACTACACCTGCAAATGTCTTACCATACAATATCTGTAACAAGAATGTACTTGGTGCAATTCCTTTCTTAAATTAATTTATCAGAGTCCCAGGGATCTCACTGGTTCAGCAGATAGCCACGCATGGGCAAGTCTAATAACCTGAACTCAATCCTAGTATCCGGAGGCAAAAGGAAAGAACCAACTCTAGATTGTATTTCTGAAACCTCCATAATCATGTCTGCATGCTCACTCATATACGCCTGTACACACACTCACGCACACACAGATACACACACCTTGAGTAAATATTTTTTTAATTGACAAGAAATGTCTAGAGTATTTAAAATAATTAATGTAAATATTTTAGTGTTCATCAGTGTAGTGCTCTGCTGACAAATGAGAGAGTACCCTTTATATGAATATGAACTTGCACAAACCTATATATGTGAAATCCAGATGTGCTTTATCATTTGGGAATATTAAAGTTTCATTATACAGTCTGATAAGCATGTTACATTTTTATCAAAATTAATCATGCGCTTTGGAAATAGCATTTTCAGCAATAAATCTTACGTGTTAAAATGTCCATTTGGTCATAACATACAGAAAAATGTTTTGATTTGTTTTAAAATGTAGTCTACCTCAGGATACAGCTCAGAAGTTTTAATAACACTTTAGTCTTACTTCTGCACTTCTACAAGTATGTTCCTTCATTTTCATTCAATTTCTTCCTTACAAAAACTTCCCTACTTTTCCTCTCAAGGTCGTAGAGCCCTGTGTAAGACAGCAGCAGAGCTTCAGTAATAACTACAACTGCCATCTTTGATTAATGTAAGTGAATGCTGCTTTACAATTTTCATAGCCTCTCTGCATTGCACCCATTTTGACAAGGAGCATTGTTGGGTTCACTACTGGATGCCCTAGAGGTGCCCAGGAGTGATTTGAATGAATTCAATTTGCTCGGCTTTTCATGTAAGTATAGCTTTCATTCTTATACATTTTTGAAATACAGGAGAAACTATTGCTTACATAAAATATTTTTTTTAACTTTAAGAAGTAAATAAGTCTTCATTATCGAGACATTAGATTGGACATTCCAATGATTTTTCAAGACCACAAAAATCTGTTTACCATCCAAGTCTCTTATGTGCTCCTTCAGGAATATAACCATTCTCTCTCGTTCTTCTCAGGCCTTCTACAGGTCAATAACAAAAGAATAAAAAAGCTAGTTGACTTTTTACACATATACTATGAAATATAAACACCATCATAGTTTAGTCTCTCACTTTACAAATAAAGATTCAAAGCTCTAGAAAAGTTTGATTAATTGCAAATGAAACTACAGGCTGGCACAAGGAGATACATGTCCTAAACACTGAAATGGATCAAAAATTGAAGGAAAAGTCTGTGGCTGGGTTGGTGTTTCAATCCCTCATAGGCCTTCTGGATATATGTGATACTTGATCTTCTTGTGGGACTCATAACAGTGGGATCAGGGGCCATCTATGAATCCTTCAATGCCTTTTAGGGACCTGTTTATTTCATACTGGGTCATGTTGCCCAGCCTTAATAAAAGGCAAGATGATTAGTCTTTCTAAAATTTGATATGCTGGGTTTTGTGTATGTATCTGGGATGCCTGCCTTTTTTTCTGAGTAGAAAAGAAGGAGTGAGGCAGAAGATAGATGGGAGGGAGATACTGGAAGGAGATGAGGGAAGGGAAAATATTAAAAAATAAAAGAAAGGAAGAATTTAGTCTTTGAATCCTAAATCTGCTTGTCAAATTTCATTAAACTCTTATCCTGTATAAAAAGTCAATAGAAAGTAGAGTAAAAACCTCAATGTAGTACCTAAAATGCAGTAACTTATTTAAGATGATATAAACATTGGCAAAAGCTAACAGTATTATCCTAAAAACATGGTATGGCTGCTAGAATTAACTCATGTGATTGTATGTAATTTTTAAAAAGAAATACCTTTCTTCTAAGTAAGGAATCTACAGAGTAGAAAAAAAAATCCTACTGAATAGGAGAAAATGTTTACCAGCTATAATTTAGTAGAGGGATTAATATCTAGAATACTGAAAGAACTACAAAATTAAACATGGAAAAATAAACCAAGTGATTTTTTTTTTTAAGAGGAAAATTAATGCCATTTGGTCGTGATGCAGTGAGGTAGGAGCAGGATAATATTTGAATTCCATTCAAATCTTGTTTACAGAATAACGTAGTGAGAGCCTGTGTTGACAAGACAAAAACCAAGAGAAGAAAATTAACTGAATAGACCGGTTTTAAAGGAATAAACACATTTGATACAGTTATATAATTTTTAAAGTTCAGCATCCATAGACATATGTGAAATTTACAAATTTGCCACTGAGATTTTGTCTCACTCCACTTTTTGTTCAGATATAAAAGGATGACAAATGACAACAAATGCTGGAAAACATGTGAAGGAAAGAGCAACGCTTCCTTATTATTGGGAAAAAATTAATTTAATTTTGCAACTGATAGATCTTAGGTTATTTTTCTTGATTATTTTGTAGTAAGATGCTCTAACACTGTCACACTTTTGTGAATAATTACATTGCAGCAGTTGGTAATTTTCAGTGCATTAGAACAACACAATCTACAGCATTGCTTGAGCAATCATAGCATAGTGGAATCTCTCAACTAATGGCATTTGAAGAGATTATTACAATTATTTATAACATTTCCACTTTTCTTATAATACTTACAATAAAGGCCTTTAAGAAAGAAAATGTATGTGGAAAAGATAATGAATTGGGAAAACTATAAAAATGAATAGTTTATAAGGTTATAATCCCAAAGATTGCTTTTTATCTTTGTTGTTTACTAGTTGTCCATCAAAAGTTACTTTAATGTAAAAGTCTAAGTGTCTTGGCTAGGTTCTTGTCACAGAGTAATGAAGTGTAATAAATTAGAAACTTTGAGACCTGCCTCTAGGTAGGAGTTTGTTGAGAACAGTAGAATAGGGTAGATTATAGCCTGTAGCAGGCATCTGATTCATACATGTTTATGGGCAACTAGCAATTAACAATTGCTGTTTTATAAATCATGGTTTATTGGTTTATAGATTTTTGAGTTAATAAAGAGAATGACGGAGTAAAAAAAGAATGAAAAGAAAAAAATTCTGTATCACATTGATATAATATTTTAGAAGACCATTAGAATTCAAAATAAACTCAAAACAATCTATAGATTTGTGATATCAAAATGAAAACATATTAAGAATGAATTCCCATAAGTGACAAAATTAATAGTAATATAAGAAAATCAAAATATCTTGGAATAAATCTAAGTAACAGAGTGAAAGCCTCATACAATGACAACTTTGAAATACTGTAAAGTATGTGGAAAATCATGTCACAGATAGAAAGGCCTCATATGTACATGTAGGTCTAACATTATTTACATGATAATCCTACTGAAAGAAATTGACACAATCTGAGGTATCTGTATCAATAGTTCAATTAAATTCTTCCCAGAAATTGAAAAACAATAGTATTAAATTTTGTATGTAATATAAAAGATCCACGACAGCCCAAAACAACTATTAATAATAAAATCATTTGGAGTCATCACCATCCCAGGTTTCAAGTTACAGTGCAGAGCTTACAGTCAAAGCATCATTTAAGTGGAATAAAACCAGAAGAATTTATCTAAGAACTGTCTGAAAATATTGCCATAATCCATAGACAAATAGCCACCTGATTTGACAAAGAGATAAATAAAACACAACAGAGAAAGGATAGCATTTTCAACCAGTGGCACTGTTCAAAATGGATGGCTCCATGCAGTAGAATGAAAGGAGATCCTTACCTTAAGTCTGCACAGACATCAAGTCCTAGATAGTTAGAGACTTAAGCCTAAGGCATTACACCCCAAATCTGAGGGAAGAGAAGGTAGGATGATCTGTTTGTCACAGGGATTCCTAGCAGGACACCAATAACATAAACTTTATGAGCAAAAATTATTAAATGCAACCACATAAAATTAAAATGCACTTGTGAAACTAAAAATAGCATCAATGAAGGAAAGATATGGGCCATCTATTAAATGGGCACACGTTTTTTACCTGTTGCACATGTGACAAGAGTCACTATCATCAGATTATCCTAAGAACTTCAAAACTAAATGTAAGGAAAACACCAAAGTAAAAATTATAACATGGTACTTAAAAGAGAGTTCTAAAAGGATAAAGTGTACTGGTAAAAAAATTTAACATATGCAAAATATTTAGCCATTAGAGAAATGCAAACTAAAACGGCTTTGAGATCTTTTTTTTATCCCATTCTGAATGGCTAAGATTAAAAAAAATAAAGTAAAAAGACAATGATATGCTGGCATGGAGGTACAGGGAAAGAACACATGATCATTGCAGATGGGAGTGCAAACTTGAGCAGCCCCTATATAAATTGATGAAAGGTCCTGAAAATACTAGAAACAGATCTACTACATGACTGCACATAAAGGAATCTACACTCGACTACTGGTTTATTTTCTCATCCATGTTCATCATTGCTTTGTTCACAGTAGCAAGGAAATGGAAAAATTCGGAATGTCTATCAAGTGACACATGAATAATAAAATTGTGGAGACTTTACACTTTGAAATAATACAATTTTTTTTTTTAACAAATGAAATCCTGACATCCACAGTAAGTATGTGGAGCTGGAAAATATCATTCTGCTTGAGGCAACCAAGGTAGTGCAAGGCCAATATCACATTTCTTTTCACATGTGAATGTTAACTTTCTCTTCATATGTGTGTTTCATTTAGAATACTGCTATCCATATATAGCACAAAAAATGTGGGCTAGTCAGGTAATAGTCCCTAGGAGAGAACGTAGCCCTATGACTCTGTTATGAGTATATAGCACTGAAGATCTCTTTATCATCATACATATAAATTAATGAATCTATCAGGCCTCATGCAAATGGCTTCTCAATGCAGTAGATGGTTGTTAAAATATAGACTCAACAAATGAACAACAACAACAACAAAAAAAAAAAAACAGATTGTAGAATGTGCAGCCTTAATTGGGATATTTGTATCACACCTGTCCTCCCAGTGTTCAGTGGAAGAATAGCCAGAAAGTTTGTAAGAGCAAGATTCAATGAAATGGAAAGAGAATCTTCTAAATACAGGACAGTTGTACACATGAAGTCATAGCAGTTGTGATGGTATGAACAAGACCTGTGCAAGCTCATGAAGTCATAGCATTAGTTAATGAAGTATTGGCTTCTGAAAATTGCTAGGAAAGGGACACTCAGTTTTATTTTTTAAGGGTGCATACCTTTTTATGTCTGTCATGCTCTGTAGGGTGGTTACACAAGTAAAAGCATATGCAAAGCACAATTGTTCTCACTGGATTTAACATCAATCAAACAAACAAGAAGAAAGCTTGGTGAGTAGGGAGAGGGTTTGAATCTGGAAGAATTAGAAAACATGGTAAACCTGATCAGGCAACATTATATAAAATTACAGAAAACTAGCAAAAATGAAAAAAACATATTTAAAATAAGAACTTTACTGTTTGGCTCCTTTAATCCATTTCTGAAATTAACAAATATACGAACTGTAACATATAATCCTCTAACCACACTTTAGGAGATTAATTTTGTATATATCATGCATTTTATATTTAAATATAGTTAAAGACCAGCATGTAAATAGAAAACTTCATTTATATGCTGATATATTATGCTTTTAAAAATACAGTCATAATCTTTAACCTATATATTAATTTGGGTTTTACAAACAATGAGCACATGCACCAAGTGTGATGGCCTTGAGGCT